GTAAAGTTATTTTACTGGTAAAGTGCTAATAACTGGTGGTGAAATGTTATCATCGTGCACATCGGCGGGACCTTGTTCCCCCGTCACCATCCCCAAATCGCTACTGCCCAAACTTTTGGATTTATCTCTGGACAGTGGAAGTTGAGACGCTTCGTCCATCTTCATACACAGGCTATGATTCAGATAAATCACACTGCCTCTCAGTGTCTTGGTCTATACGTCCATACTGCTGCTATAGCTGCTTTGTGAGAGGAGAGCCCCAGTAACTGTGTAAATGACTGTTTATGGGCAGACTGATGACTGTTTTTGTAAAAGTGAAAGATGCTGAAAGGACGGGGAGAGAAAGAGAGATGATTATGGAAAGTGCAAGTAAACACAGTCTGCTGCCTCCGCACTGTTACAATCAACCAGCAGCAACAAGATGTTACACAAGCAGCTGAGCTCTATGAAAGAACACTGCTTCTATTGTGCTGCACTCATAACCATCATGATAAAGACATTACAGAGCACAGGGCCTGTTTCTCAGGATGGATAACAGAAGTCCATACATAAAAACTGATGCACTATATGTAGATACACACTATTAGAGACACGTCTTAACATATCCGCCCTACACCAGTTTAGTGAGGCTCGTCTTTGAATGTTACAGGTGTTGAATCGACTTCACAGGTGGTTTAAGTTGAGGTTTACCAAAGCTATGAAAAACAAGCTTAGTTTATATGGTTATTTTTATATCTTGTGTATAAGGGACTGATGTTTATGAGAGTGAGCAATTTGGTGCAGATCCAAAATAAAAAATCTGGATCACGTGAATTTAAATGTGCTCTAATGAGTAAAAATATATAGTGTGTTAGAAAGATATTGTCATGTCTGTCATTTGGCTAGAAACCTATTTTATCATCACGATAAATAAAAAGTATGGTAAACTTCAAAGTGTATTTATAATTTTGATAAATATGATTTGATTTGTGTGGCTGTAATTTAGATTTTTCACCGGTCACTTGCTGAATTGCTGGTCTGCGGGAGTATAAGACATTATTTCTGATCATTCCTCAACAACTTTTAAGTCTATAGTTTTAAACATCTGTAGCTTGAGATACGACCGTAACCTGAGGCATCACTTCAAGAGGTGACCGCATCCAAAAACCAAATATTATGAGCTCCGCCAAATCATCATCTCCTGCAGCTCCAGTGTCGTGAAGTCATGTTGCACGCCCTCAGGTTTACCGGACACGTGTGGTCCTGAGAGACAGATCCATGTCAAAGGTCCTGTGGAGGTACTGGGGGCACAGGGGCCTCTGCTGGGAGGTAAGGGTACTGCACACAGGGGGTAGAGCTTGATGATAGAGATATGGAGGAGCTTTTTACACAGTCATGGCTGCTAATTACTTTAGCCCTGTCTTAATTTATGTACTTCTGCTCATGCTTACTTTAAGATAATGAATCACAATCTGCCAACTGTTGTGGTGGATTATAATTGACATCGGCGGATCCCAACTGCTCGCTGTCGAGAGGCTGTTGGGGTGCATCTGTCCTCCCTTTGCACAGCTGCTGCGGAATTATGACAGAAATGTTTGGCTTTTTAATTGAACCGGAAAGTGCTGGTGTTTGTGAGATTAAATCAAATCCAATTATAGCTGAATTGGTTGTTTTTTTAAATACAGGAGTTAGGTAAAGTCTCTGATGCATCACGATATCCACACCGGAATCACCTCGTCACCTCTCACCCCAATAAAAGGTAGAGAGAAAGCTGGGTGTCGTGCTTGATGAGCAGCTTTACCTCCTCTGACCGTGTTGCATCCATGTTGTGTCGCTTTGCACAACATCAGCCTCAGTACGCCACATAACTCCTGGTTATCGCTCTCACGTAAACTACTGCTCTGCTTCTGGGTGCTTTTCTTCACCTGATCTACTACTGAACAGATGTGACACTAATGCTCACTTCAAGGTCTCTGACTGCACTGAGGCTTTAGGGTTTTCTCTCAGTTACAAGTCAGTGATTCCTACAAAAAAAGTTCAACCAGCAGTAAAACGATCACACCCACTGGTACCTAACATCTGGTAAAATCTCTCGCTGTTTGAAGGCAAACTTTATCACAACATGGAAACACTGAATAAATTTCGACCACAGACAGAGAACACATGAAACTGGTGTTAAAAACTAAACTTGCAACAACAAATGCTATTGTCTTAACGCGGTGCATTCAGCCTGCACATACAGTAAGTGATGTCTCGCCGTAAACAGCTCTCACAGACCTCACTAAAGCTATTTTCAGTCTGATATAATCAAGTAATTACAAACAGTCTCGGAGAGTTTTAGCTTTAGGCTCCAAGGAGCAGAGATCGGCCATTAAAGCGGAATAAAATGATACAGTTTAATTCATCTCTATCGGGTGGCCTGATGTTCTGCAAAGGAAAGAGTGTGTGGAGCTGTTTCATGTTTTAAAGAAGAGCATTTTACAGGGTATAATTGAAAGGCTTTTATGTCACAAAGTGTTTGGATCCAACGCTAGCGCTGTCGGATAAAGCACAGAGCACGCCTCCTCAGTGTAAGAGCGGACGTTTGGCGGAGGAGAGATAAAAGCTTCTCTCCGATCCGAAAAGATAACTCTTATCTTTGAGCCAAATTTTCCACAACAACCTGCACATACACAGAGATTGTATTACAGACACAAAAACACCCTGATGTGTGTGTGAGGGGCAGTTAAATCAAGATGACAGCGTGAAACAGCCTTTGGTTTGTCAACTTGTTACACATGACATGGGGATTAGAGAAAGTTTTTGCTCTGGGGACAATGAAATCTGAAACAAAAAAACTTTTGAAAAACTGTTTTTCTGTGGTTTAAGTCTTGAAATAGTGTCTCCTTCTGTCCCCAGTAGATTTTCACATCTCTCAGTAGAGCGTTTATCTCCACCAAGGCCCAACAGTCCCCTTAAATTCAATTCAATAAATAAACAAACCAAAACCAACCAAACAAACCTGAGAAATAAGTGAAAATGTAAAAAAAACTCGTCAAATTTTCATGGGAACCTGTAGTATTCTGCAAACTACAAAAAACAAATCCCCCTCATGAAACCAAATTTGGTGGGTTTTTCCCTGACCCATAATGCATCCTTCCAAGTTTCCATCAATCAGTGTTTTGCGTAATCCTTCTGACAAACAAACGAATGCAGACAAAAGCACAACCTCGTTGGCGGAGGTAATCATTTAAGTATGAAAAAGGAATAACCCTTGAAAACATGGTGAAACGTTTCCCAAGAGATGAGAGCAGGCTTGAGAACTGCCAACCTTTCCATCATCATGCTCCATCACTGCCATGTCATGACATCACCTCACTCTTCTCCACTCTGCTGTCGTCCCTGTGGTCTGGACTCTTGATTCTCTGGCTCGAAGGCCGACGCTCTCTAAAAGAGTGGGCAACTTAATCCACGGCTGACAGACAAGAAAATAATGGCGCTTAGCTTTCATGAGGTCTCTCTCTCTCTACGTCTCCCTGCAGCGTGTCAAAGTGAATATTCGCTGTCCGCAGAGGGCTGTGATGCAACCCGACATTACACGGCTCAGATTGCCCCCCAAATTAGATAGAGCAAGTTTGCTTTGGCTGCACTCGCTGTGCCACAAAAACCTGGGAACAGGATAAACTTCAGAAATGTCTCTAATGACACACACATGGTAGTGAAATGTGACCCAGAGCGAGAAATAATCACTGTCATTTAGTGCTGGAGAGAATCATTAACACTGAGACCAGCACAGACCTACACGAGCGGAGAGGGATCCGTTTAGGGATCAAGCATATAGGCACAAGAACTTGGTCTGTATGTGTTTAAAAAGTTCTGGTTTCATTGACTTCACCTACAACAAACAAACATTTTATTTGATGGGGAAAGGAAAATGATAAATTAAAGCTTAAACGATTAGTTTAATTATCTTAATTAGTCAATGAAAGAAAATTAGTTTCCAACTAGAATTACGAAACTGAATTGACTTGATTTTATCTGAGTTGTTTGAATGTTTGTATATTTTGATTATTTAATTGACTCTGGTAGACTTACCTCAAAACTTATTCTAACACAGAGCATGAATTAGTTTTATCTGGGATGTTTATTTATTAACTCTGGCATAGAGGTTATGTTTTTACCTCCGTCTGTTTGTTTCTTGGTTTGTTTGTGAACAAGATTACACAAACGCAAAAACTTGGTGGAAGGATGTGGTGTGGGTCAGCGAGGAATCCATAACATTTGGGGGCCAATGCAGGACTTGAAAGATTCTTACTTTTTTTTTCTTGTCCTGTTTTCTTTTGAAATATATAAAAAAAAAATCCTGCATATTTCGGGGTCTGATATCGATGAGTGTGTGACATTCGGTGCAGTTTGATTGAATTTAATGGGATTGTTGTGTCTTGTCGGAGGTATGTGCTTTACTGAGCGCCCTTCTAGTCTTATTTCTATCTTTCTATTGGTTTGCTGTCTTGCTTATTGTGAATCACTTTGTAACTATGTTTTGAAAAGTGCTTATTAAATAACTATGAAGATGATTGCGCATCACAGTAAATTATAATTGCAGCTGAAGTGGTTGATTGTTTATAGTCAGAAAAATAATTGGAAAAATATATTTATTTATTTATTTTTCAGAAACAAAAACAAACGATCTGGTTCAACCCTGAAAATATATGTAGTTAGTTACTTAATATTGTTTAAATGGAAGGCATGTAAGGTCACTTTAATTATAACAATTTTAAAAAATCCCACATTTTTATGACGACCCCGTTCTTCAAGGTTACAGAATCATACAAAACGATTTTTAAAACTTTTTTTTCCACTGCAAACCCATTTAAGTTCTGTGATTATCACGTTTTATTATTATTATCATTAACCTGTCACTCTCCATGATCTTAATCCAGCTGCAGAGTCAATCTTCAACCCTGACTTCGCTTTTTCCTGCGGTTTCACCTTTTCTGTCCCACGTGAGCTTCCGTACTTTGGTTTCAGTTTCAGGAAGTAGCGATGCTAACAACAACAACAAAAACAGAATTCACACTTCTCTCGCCCCCGTTTTCCAAACTTACCTCGTAAATACGATCATGTCAAGTTATACGTTCACCGTGCCTCCAGTCCGCGGTCCGGTTTGACTTCACCACCGGGAAAAAGTTGGTATATGTCCGCTCGTTTGAAGCTACTTGGCTAACGTTAGCAGCAGGGGAGCCAAGTTAGCTAAAGAAGCTAATGTGACAGTAACTTCAGATGGATTGAGTGTTCAAACTAAAAGGTCCGTGAATAGATCAAAATGAGTTTATGTCTTTATACTTCCACTATGCCGTGTCTGTAATTCTCTGTTAAAGTTGATGAAGAGTTTATAAACCATAAATAATTATGTGTTGATGATTAATAATCAGTTCATGAGGAGTCTAGTTTTGAAAAGTGAATCTCCATCAGCATGAAACTTGTATTTAGCTCCTAATTTTATTTTCACGCCTTCTGTGAAATGGCTGCAGGACATCTGGACCTAGATCCAGTTTATTAAAGCAGACATCTCCAGACTGAATTAATTCATGCGAGAGAACCTCTGAATCATATCTTAACATTTATAATTGCATGTGACAGCCTGACTTTTGCAGCACTTTTCCAGCAGGTTGAAAATATTCAATTTCCCCTGTAAATTAATTCTGCTAAACTAAACCACAATGGGGGAAGATTGTACACAACCTGGCAACTATACATATCATTAATAGCTATAATTAAGAGTTATTTACTTGCAACTCATAGATTATTTGATAAACTAGATCTATAATTGTTAAAAATAAGTATAAAGTGGCTGGCCACCAATAGTAGATGTATATAACCTGGAGTTAGTGCTTGCAAGTAGACATACATGTGACAGTTTAAGCTGAATTAAATGTGAATGAGGGAAGGATAAAACAGTACAAGTTGATAGAGTTTGCGTACACAAATCTATTAATCTGTGTTTTCATTAGGTTTGGCACAACTTTTAAAGACAAGCTAATTTGCAGCTTGTCATTTAGTTTTGACGTTGCGACCTATTACCATTATTTATCATTTTCATCACCTTTATTCACCTGTTGTCAAAAGCATATTGTCAAAATGTCTTTTGATTATTTTTGTAGACGATGCCACGCATGCAGTCCGGTGTGTGGAGGCATTTTACTCCGGCCATCAACAATGGTAGGGAAAACTTCATGTGCAACTACTGTGCAAGGACGTACACAAAGAATGCTACCAAGATGCAGATGCATTTGGATAAATGCAAGGAGTACTCTGTGGTTTCACAGCAGTCACCAGAGCCTGATGGGAGCTCTGCTGCCTCCATCCCTGTTCCCTCCTTCCCATCCTTACCATGTGCTGCTCCTGGGGGACAGTTCCTCATTGATTCAGTGGATCAGCGCACCCAGGCGTTGGCTGATGAGTGTCTGGCTCGAGCTGCGTACGCCACATCCTCGCCCCTCACTCTTACAGACAATGTTTATTGGAAACGATTTTTCAACGTCCTGCGGCCTGCTTACTGTCCACCCACTGCAGAGGCTCTGTCCTCTCATCTGTTGGACTGCGAGTATGACCGGGTGCAAAACCAGGTTCACGACGCGATAGGGAAAGCAGACTGTGTCACAGTCATCTGCAGCGGCTGGTCGAACATTAAAGAAACTAAAACTATCATTTATGTTGTGGCAACTCCTGTACCGCTGCTCTATAAATGCACAAACATGAAAGAGCAGTCACATGCAAGCGCTTCTATTGCTGAGGAACTGAAAGAAATCATAAACGAGGTGGGACCTCAAAAGGTCTTTGCTGTCATGACGGATGACGCCCCGGATATGATGGCTGCCTGGGCTCAAGTAGAGGAAGCATTCCCTCACGTATCAGCTATTGGCTGCACAGCGTATGGCATCCAGCAGCTCTTTGGCGACATGGTGGAACAGCCGTCTATTAAAGCATTGTGCAGGAGAGCCGAGCAGGTGCTGACGTATGTTAGAGAACGGACATTATTAGCAGAGACTTTTAGATGCTGGCAGACCTCAAAGATAAGAAACCACACTTCTAATGGAGCAACACCGGCACTTCCTGGTGGCTCTGACCGGACTGGTGTGCTGGACACGTTCAGCAGCCTCTTGGAGGGTCAGACGTCTCTACAAGAGATGGCAGTCTCACCCACACTGAACGTTGAAGCATCCATCAGGGCTACTTTACAGGATTCTGCATTTTGGAAAGGGTTGATCAGCAGTCACAACCTGCTGTACATGATCGGGAATTCTATTGATTACATGAAAAGAGAAGATACTGTGCTCTCTGGTGTTGTTGACATGTTCAGTCAGTTAAGATACCACATTGGAGCCACTCTGTCTGGGTCTGTGCTGCACAGTACTGAACAGAAAGCTGTCTTGGCATCATTAGACAGGTGTCAGGAGTTCTGTGTAAAGCCCATCCATGCAGCAGCGTACATGCTTGATCCGAAGTATGTTGGACAGCAGACACTCTCCGGGGAGCAGATTAACAGTGCTTACTACGTGATATCCAACCTGTCACACCATCTAAATCTAGACGAGGGTAAAGTGCTCGGCAGCTTCGCCAGGTTCTCAGCCAAGCAGGGACTATGGAAAGGGACTGGGATATGGAGCTCATGCCAGCACGTGTCTGCATCCACCTGGTGGAAAGGGCTGTGTTCCTCTGAACCGCTGTCAGCCGTGGCCTCAGCTATACTTCAGATCCCACCGACAGCGGGAGCTTGTGAAAGCCTGCGGTCGCGTTTCGGAAGTGAAAAGTTTGAAGGTTCTCTCTCAGCTGACAGGGTGCAGAAACTGGTGGCAGTGCAAGTGAATCTCAACCTTTTAGATCCAAGTAAGTGTGAGTACGCTCCACTGGAAAGTGAGGAAGAGAGGAAAGTTTTATTTCAGTCTGAGACTCAGTAATAAGTAGAGCCCGACTGATTTTTGGGGGCAAATAGGGATTTTGGATTTATCAGCCAAAATATGTATTTTAAAACTAAAAAAGCACAGAAGTCTGCCAAGACTCAGCCTCATAAAATCAATCAAGCCACACCAAATTGTACAAACTCATAAATGTGACAGATTTTTCTCATCTAGATACAGTATATGCAATATTCCCTGGGAAGGTGACGGGAAAGTCAAACAAATTGATGGGCTCTTTCCTGACCGGTGCCACACAATTCCACCAAGTTTCGTTTCGTAATCTGAACTTTTTTATGTAATGCTGCTAGAATAGAAAAACAATTGCTGCTGAAAACATAACCCCCTTTATATATAACTGAGGCCTGATAATTTAAAGTTTAACCACAAACTTTACTATTAACTTATAGCATACCATAAATTATTTATGTAAATGCACATATTTTCTGCGTTGTTTATTCTGTAAAGTAAAAGTTTTCATATCGGCAAATATAAATGCCAATACCGATATTTCTGTTAAAGGGTCATATTGGCGGATTCATATCGGCCAACCAATGAATCATTTGGACTCTAATACTATGATAGAAATGAGATATGATGCAGAATGTAAAGCGTATCATATCACATAGATCGTTTGTTGCAGAACGCTGTTAATTTATTGAATGATTACAATGTGGATATAATCTGAACTTTCTCAGCTGTGACTGCACTGTGCTCACTTTAACCGAAGGAAAAGCTTTGATTTGTGTTTTAATCCCATACAATGCAAACTCACGTAGTTAGTTTTCAACTTCATAATCACAACATGACACATTCGCTGAGTAAGTATGGTGCAGGGTAAAGGACAAAATGAAGACGAGTGAAAAGCCAGCTGAGGTCATGTCAGCTGCAGATCTGGCCAATGACGAGCCAGCGCTGGTAACTGAGAGGTAACTGGATATGTAACTGACTCAGCAGGTGACCAGCAGTAATTTGTCCCTCACCCTGCACCTTAGATGAAGAAATAAAGATGAGTCTTCTTTGTTAAGACTGTTGACATGGTGTAAATAAAAGCTTTGTTTTTATTGAAGATTTTGTTTGCTCTGAGTTAAAGACTTTCTTTCCTTGAAATATGTTTAAACAGAATGTATTAAAAAATAGTTTGGAACTTTATTAAGTAAAGGGCTATTCCTAGCAGCCCAAATGCTAAGTATGTATTAGCGAAGCTATCTTAGCTTAGCATAGGTGGAAAACACAGCTTGTTTTATGTATAAGGGTTAAATACAGTTATATTTTGTTGGCAACTAATTGACTTAAGGAAATCACTTCTTCTAGCCAAGAATAGTATCAACCACACATGACCGCCTGTAAAACTGAGCCTCCATGGTTTTAAAGTTTGGTGATAACAAGAGTGGTATCGATCTCCTCACCTCTCAGCAAAACTCTAAACTGAATGAAACTATTGCTTGAAGGAACAAATTAACTCCAATTCACTCAAGAGTTAACCTTTAAAGATTTATTGAAACACAATGAAGGTCTATCTTGTAAGAAAATAAAAAACTTCAGCCTCTTAAATAACGAAGCACTGAAGCCCGGTGTGTTTTCTCACACTCGCTCTTTCTTTATCTCCTCTGCTGTGTTCTGCCGTTGGTTTTTCTCCGGTTGGCCTCGGGGTTCAGATCTGGCCCTTGTAAATACTCGCATTATTAATCTTAATAAGAACGAGCCAGGACGGGCTCTGGAGGTGACTCTGCCTTGAAGCGAGCAGACCTTGCGTAAACCACAGACTTTCTTCTCCACAAAATCACTCAGTAAATCTCCCACTACCTATATGGCCCTCTCAGTCTGGTTGCTTGGGGATTTGTAAGCACTGACAACAGATGTGTGGGCAGTAAATAAGAGCATCGGTATATATTATTTTACATGATGTATGCACTTAATGACAGGTGGCACTGCGTTGGTTTTAAAGTTGCCCTTTGTGTGATGTAGTCATACCAGGCAGAAAGCATGAAATCACTTCGCTCCAGTTGTGGTTTCATCCTTATTTCATCATTGGTTGCAGGCCCAGATTACCAGCGGTAACGCCATGTTGTCGGCTCGGGGTGTTTCTGTTTCTGATAATTCAACACGCTACAGAACTTTGTAAACTGCAGGACTTGATGACTGGTGTTATCTTATATTTATATTAATGTCAACACATCCCATGACAAAAACAAAATATGCATTGTTTGGTCCCATCTTTCATTACTTTCAGATTTCTCGACCCAATAACACGAAGGATCAAGCATAGTAATTCTAACTGCAGACAGAAATGTTCAATATTTATTTAATTTATTTCTGATGTAATATTCATATATTCAGATCCATGCAGTGTTCCCCGGGAAGTTGTGAAATTGTCAAAAAATCAATGTCTGAATCCATGGCAAATTATAACGGTCTCTTTTTTGACCCGTGTCCCTTCTTTCCATCAGATTTCATGGAAATCCATTCAGTTTTTTTTACACGTAATCCCGCTAACAAACAAACAAAGCAACAGTTTGGGCCGGAAACAACCTCCTTGGCTTATGTTATTAAAAGTTTTGCGTTTCTGCATGGGCACAGACCGTGACTGAAGAAACACAAGCTCTCAACAGCATTAAGCTACATGTATATACTCAAGAATCTCAGGAGGTGGTCTGGCAACAATAGCCAACAATGGAAAGCATTGTCCTTTCCTTGGGGAATTGTAATTGGGATGCTGATTGAGCTGTCTTCCTTATTAAAGCCTCCATACAGCACATTACCCACCAGGTCTCTGGACACTGAGAGGAGATTTAGACGTCTCTGTTAACTCTGGACATGTTTCACCGAGGAGGGGCCCCGTGCAATTTGTTTGTAGTTCTGGGATGTATTGCACCGTGCTCAGTCAGGAATGGATTACCATCCAGTAATTAATGTCAGATGAGATCGGGTGTAATTTTGTAATCTAATCAGGTCCACAAAGTATGGCTGCTGTAACAGCTGGTGCCAATCCAACTGTAACTCCCCCCGTCAAGGACTGATACTATTATCTTGGCCTGGAACAATGGCTGGCTTTAGCCGTGAGCGTGTGTGTGTGTGTGGGGCGGAGAGCACTGGTAAGGAACCGCTGGGCAGCTTACACCGCAAACAAAAGCAAGCTTGTCTGGGGATCATTCAGGAGAGAAAGTTATATTTTTACACTAGTATCAATGACTGAACAGAAAACCCTGAGGGGAAAGGTACAGTGTGAGATTTCATCAACAAGTCTTTCACTGCTCATTCTCCAGGATGTCCTTGTAACATGCTGCAGCGTGGACTCTGTCTCTTTTTAATCATGTCGTACATTTTCTAAATTCCTTTTTAACAACTGCCAAGCTGCAATGAAAAGAAATTGTTTTGTGAATGTGAGAAGTTTGAAAATAATCTTCCAGTTATATTAACTTAAACCAACAAAACAATGTAGATCATGAATCCCTAATCTCCACAACAGAACAGTTCTGGAAATTAGTAAAAATATCCAAATTGCCCTCTCTAACAATGTTAAAGAAAGTGATCAAAGGATGATCTCTTGATCCACACCTGAGGCAACATTCAGTGGATTCTTTTCTTGGCCCATCCTCCGCACAAGTTTCATTTAGATGGAACATGTAGATTTTGCGTAAAGTTCTTCTGTGACTTCAGTTTCACTTCTAGTTCACAGCACCAAGCCCAAAGGACAGGAGTCTAAATCTGTTATGTATATATTTTGAGAGGAATCCAGAGGAAATGGTGATAACGCGCTGTACGAACTCCCCTCAGACCAGGGTGGAGGTTTGAGTGCCAGCGCTTGCCACCGGTCCACCCTGACGCCCAGTTAATGAACCTAATTTAATGTTTCTGATTCCGAATCGCAGACAATTTGATATAAATGTAATCTGCTGTAGATTCGTGTCTGACTCTGCGGTGGGTAGAGCGAGACGACAAACCGCCTCCTCAGCTCCGTCGTTCTCACCGGGCCCGAAGTGCGTCAGCGGTATGAGGCTTTATTTAGAGATGACCATTGTGTTAGGCCATGCAACTGTTGCTAACATTCAACCTACTGTAATAACAGACTGGCAACAATTAGTGGCCGAAGCCTCCCCATCATTTTCTCATTCCTCACCCAGGCCAACATCAACCCACCCGTCCGCCCACTCCCCTCCCACCCCGAGTATGAAAAACAAAAAACAACAGATGGGCTGTGCCAAGGAGACCGTGACTGCTACTGGTCATTACCACAGTGAGGAGCCGGAGAGGTGGTGGGAGGGTTGAGATGCTTGGGTTGCAGATATGTAAAATAACCTGGTGGCAAGGAGAGTCTGCGCTGCTCTCCACCGCTTCTCTCATTCCTGCTGCTCTCAGCACCTCATAATGCTTTTATAATTACATTCCAACCCAACTGAATCATGAGCAGGTGATCACAGCATTTTTCTTTCCGCTCTCACCAGCTGCTGTAAACTTGTTCAAACATCAGGGAAGCTTGTGGTGGAATAGGTAGTCAGAGCATCGGTTTAAGTCAAAGTATAAATACTAAATACTAAAGGCCTGTACTTGAAATTACACTTAGACACATGTCATTTTAGGTGCTGAATGTACTTAGAGAGTCAAAAGTGAAATACTTGTTTCGATGGTTAAAGCTCATGCAGCAACGTGAAAGCAGCACTTTACTGTTGTAGTGAAGACGAGGCCAGTGTTATCTACTTCATTCACAGTTGACTAGTTAATGCCAGTGGCTCCACACTCAGGGATCCTCCCTTCCAAAGGGTCACGAGATAAATCCGAGGGGTCGTGAGATGATTAATGGGGCAGGAAAAACCATTTGTTTCGAACTGCAAGATGTCAAGCGTGTGACAAGGGGCAACAACCACACGACAAATAACATCAGCTCTCATGTGAATATAGAATAAACTATATCTCTGTATCTAGACGTAAAAAGAAGCGGACAATAAAATGTTATTTCACACAGATCTGATTAAATGTACTTTGTTTGCTCTATTCACAGCAAATTCTGTGATACAAGTCAACCCATGCATGAAATTATTTAATTACTATGATTATACATACTTAAGTTTTAAACACTGTTTAGTGTTAAATTAACTGCATTTATACAGCACTTTCATAGTTTTACCCATGGTGCAATAGTCACATTCACACACACACACACACATTCATACAACAATTTCATAAGCAGTGTTTATCCATCACAGGTCGTTACTGCCCTCAGTGATGATTTAGGTTTTATTTAGGTCTGGGAGTCCCAGAAAACTTCCATTCTCTCAAATGACCAGAGGAGGGCCACTTCTCTAATTGCAAAAAGAAGTAAGTTTCTGTAGAAACCTTATTTTTCTTGATTTATTACGTCAGTAAACATTTTGCAAAAGAGATTATGATCTCAGCCACTAGTGTCAAGTCTCCAGTACTGCGTGATATTCATTTTGTAAATTAAGGGTCGGAGTAAAGAGTTAAATGGTGATAAAGCACTGAAAGTATATTGATTGACAGCTAGTGCCGACCTGGCCCTGGACAAATTACCCCACAACCAATTGTCCCTAGTGAACAACCCGGTCTACCTTAAAAACATTATATCATTGTGAAAATCCTGATGCGTCTGCGATAAATATATTATTTAAAGTTTTGTTTCAGCCTTGAGACACATCATGTTTCAGTAAAGAAGTTAAAATGTCTTATTGTTGTTATGTTGCTGCCGTGAGCTGGGTTGTGATTTTGGTTTGCATGGTGTTGTGCCTCATGAGGACTGGGCACTTGGCAGGAGCTCGCACCGCACACAACCTCATTTTATTCCAGCAAACACTGGCTCCAGCTGAAATCTGAGGGACTCATCGGGGATGAGAAATGGCATGAAATAACTCAAATAGTAATGGCTCTGTTGGATATGATGCCATTTGCACTACATAGGAGGTCCAACTATTTCATCTTCACAAAGTCATTTTGTTTGGGGTTTATAGCGAGACGTTCTCAGAAAGGGTTGTTAAAAAAAAAAAAGGGTAAAAGTCTGGTGGAGAACACGAAACGAAGCTTGTTAAAGTCAGAGGGATCCTGGACTCAGCTGTT